GCTTCAACAGCAGTGGGTGGGCAATTGGGGTCATATAACATAGTTGTATGAGTTCGAAGCAACTTATAAGACATCCAATGAAGCTCTCAGACACTCGGGCTGAGTATTCAGTGAGCATATAGTACACTCACTACTGTTGAAGCAATTCAGCTACTGCCGTTTTTGGCATGCTTAGTCAGACTCGGTGATCTCGGGGAGACGATTTGTTCCAGCCGTCCTATAGCGTTCTCCTCCTCTTGTTCGTTCTGTATCCGGTAATTCTCATATAATACATTTTCTTACATAATATTTCACTTCTGCCCTAGTAATTAGAGGAGCGCGAACGCTAAGGACGGGTGGTTTAGGAGCCTGGGACGGGCAGCGCCTACAACGCTCACGGCGGCTTACTAAGCGTCCGTGGTCTTGACATGCGACAGCTGTCAAGACCTGTCAGAGACTTAGGACCAGTTCGAGTAGCTGTGGCTGACGCCCGAAACTCGTCTTTTGTTTGTTCATCTACTCTGCCAGTATAAGCTGTAGCACCGGAAGTTGACTCCCATGTCGTAGATAGCATATCAATAATTGATTCTCCAAGACCATTTCCGCCCCTATCACCTCCAGTAATGTAATAAAGTTATTTCTATATAACCATGCATTCTACTCATCACCCTCGTCCTCGTTGTCAGAACCGTCTGTGCCATACATGTCGGCGTCAGAATTCTCGTCTGTCTCGATGCCAATCCCCATGTCCTCCAGCCACTTGCCATCGGACTTGGGGTATTTTGCTAAGTAGTGCCTAACCACGTGCTTCAACACTGCGACTTTCTCTGCTTTGTTCTTCAGGTGCGACTTCTTGGGCATATCTTGATTACCATCAAGTTGTCGGTGAACTTCGAGCTGATCTTCAATGTGTGAAACTGTGAGCTTGTTTACAGCCATTTGCAGATTGATGGGCCCACTTTTCAAAAATCATTTACAGTCGGACCACGTCGGACAAGCAATTGTAAGTCCCCAAGAGATGGAAATCAGACCATTTGGACTTCCCTACCTTCCTCTGACGTCCCTGGCACCCACTCCGACCCACTCCGACTAAATGCGATTCTCTGAATTGGTGGTCTATCGATCTGCAAACGGCTGTATGTCCTCTTCCCGCAGCAACAATACAATCCCCGCCAACTTCTCAGCTTTCTCAGCGAGCTTCCGCCGCTTCTCTGCCTCTTTTCGGCGCCGCGGGTCCTCCAGCATGTGTTCATGGTCCACTTGTGCTTGACGGTGCTGTTTCTCAAGCCCACGGCTCTCCAACTTGCAAGCCTCGCGCCGGATGAAATCAAAGTCCTCGTGAACTAGCATCTTGTCCATGAAGGTCTAGGTTTCATTCCGGTGATACATCACTTGTGAATTGTAGAAATGCAGCGCGGCATTGGGCCTGCTTCGGAGGTAGAGCCGGAAGTGAGCCCAGTGCACCTTCATTATGATCATTGGTTGCTGGCATCCAGGCGAGTGCACGATCCTCTTCTGTGGCCTTGTCAATCTCACCTGACTTGAACTCACTAGTAAATCTATTCCAGGTCTCTAGAGCCCCAGATAGAAAGGCCACGAAGACAGGACGAAGATATGGCATCTCCGATGCCCTCTGCTGAATAGTGTGCACTGCTTCCGGATATGCCCAGTCCGCCACATCAAGTGTAGCCAATTCTGGCCTTGCATCTTCAGCAAGTACAAGATCAGGGTCCTCAATCAACATCTTGATGTGGGTCTTCACCTCTTCATGGAATGGGCCAAGATCTAATTGATTTAAGCCTTCAGACCCAGGGCCACGAACAATCTTGAGGTAGGGCTCCGAAACTGTCTGGGTATACAACACCATACAAGCCATCTCCGTTAGGGTAGCTGGATCCTGTAATGCATTATAAAGATTCTTTTCCATATTGGTGAATGTGTTATTTGCTTTGCATTCTTTCATCCGTAAGACAAAATCAATGTGATCATCAAGCCATGCCCAAGTGACACAAGCGCTATCACCATGCGAGTGGTAACGTGTATTGCTGGTGTCCGGATACCGTCGTCCAAAACGATAGGCATAACTATCTCCTTGTCCTTTTTTCTGATCACTATTCTTGAACACTGCACCACCAATGTCCATCGTCTTCACGCCACCACAAGTCAAGCTGTCAAGTGCACACTTCTCAGTGTCGGTGAGGGCATCCGAGGTTGTGGAACGACCAGCAAGAACTGCAGCATTATCTTTGTTGGCAAGGAGAACCGGAGGAGTGACACCATTGTCAAGCCACCATGCCGTCATTCGAGTATTTCCACCAATGAAACTATTAAGGTCTTTGTGCATACAACAACCCCCCCATATGTAGAGGTCAAGCTTGTGCTTCTCCTCCTCCGATAACGCAGCATACACCTCCTCACCAAGCCACTTGTAGACCGTCTGGATTCATTCGAGGTCCTTAGCAACCTGCTCGTCCCAAGAGAGCAAGTTCCATTTCTCCATTCCTCCTACGGTGGCAATCTTCGCTGCATTGGCATCTGCGAGAATCTGCACAAGCTTGGTAACGTCCTTGAGCAATAGGGCATCTTCCCCGAGGTCACACAGACTCTCGTCCCACTTCCAGTCTTGCATGCCACGAGACGTCTTCTTCTGATAAGCAGCATGGTTGGAAAAGTACCCTTTGAGCTTCCGCGCGATCTCAGCCATTTCTATTGTCTGGTGCCGCCGTGACAAAGGACTGCAATCATAGAACTCTTGAAACTCAGAGAACAAGTCCTTCCAGCCGTCGACTTGCGTATCAGCCTTACGATTTGTAGCCGAATGGACACCAAGTGTTCGTAGGCGATGTGCCTTTCCCGTGGGACCTGAACTTGAGCTTGTAGTATACACTGGCGTCGACAGAGCAATAAAATTGGATTCGTAGTTGATGTGCCGGTGCGATGTGCCATCCCCGCTAATCATAAAGCCTTCGGACTGCATGATATCGAACACCACTTGTAGTTTCGCTGCTACACCACCCTCGAGAACAGCGCGGCGTACGGTCTGACGGCTCATCTTATCTTCAGGAGGTATCGATACACCAAGCAGCTCTGCCACGGTGTTAAAGACATCACGAATATGTTCCGAGGCCACATTGAAGTTAATAAGCTTGCGTGCCGCCATCCGGGCAGCGAGCGTGTAAACTCCCTTGAACTTGAGACGAACAATCCGTGATTCCTGGACATACTTCTTAACAGCCTTCGAGACAACTCTCGCCATAACATCGGGATGCCTCTTGCACCGCTTCCGAAAGGCATAAACTGTAGCTTTCGAGGCCGAAAGTGCCTCAGTCAGGTAGCCTCCTTGAGCTTTCGAAGCTGCTAGTCCACACTTGAAGTTTTCGATACAGTCCTGTGCCTCAGATCGAGCATTGTCAGCAGTGATTTGCGCTTCAGAAATAGCAGCAGACACTTGGTATTGGACCCGACAGAGTTCCTCTTGGTAGAGTGCTACAGCAAAGCTCGAAGTGTTTCTCTCATCAGTGAGCGCTTTCTCAGCATCCAGAGCCCGAGCAGATGCCTCCGAGACCACTGTATAGATAGTGTTCATCGCCTGTTCATGGAGATTAGCCAGGTCCAGTTGCAGAGAGCCGACAGCCTGGTAAGCCTGACTAGTAGCCAGAAGAGCATCCTCGCGGCCAGGCAGAGCATATCCAGAGTCATTTTGATCTTTCTCGGAGCTTGACACCTCAGCAACCTTCTTCCTCGTAGCGATCCGCGCCTTGACGTTGTCCCGCTGAAGCCGCTGTATACGCCGCTCGAGAACATGAAGCCATTGCCATAAGTCCACGTTCTCGTCCTTGAGATCCTCAGCATGCGTCGCACGTTGCCGTAGGTCTGCATTCTTGTCCTTAAGATCCTTAACATGTGCCGCAGATTCAAGGTGATCCGCTTCGGCATCCTGGAGCTTGCGGAGAAGGCCCGACCGCTCTGATCTAAGGTGGGAGTTTTCTTTGAGTAGTACCCGTGCCTGCTCCTTATACAATGACAGAGTCTCTTTTTGCACCTTGAATTGTATTAGTATTTACAAGTCAAAAGTGTAGACCAGGCGGTACTAGTTACTTTTTCGGGTGACTCGGATGCTCCAGACTGCGACCGAGTTACCCACCCGCTGCTTGATGACTGGCCAGATCCGGACTGGACGGTAGGCTGTATATTTTCTTTATGTCCTTGCAGAACCTTCCTGGCTTGTGCGGCACTCGCTTGACGAGCGCGGGATGCCTTCAAAGCCTTGGGCATCTCACAGAGTAGCCAGATAATTTAATAATACTATTAGTCGCCCAAGAGCAACATAGACCTTCCGACAATAATTGGAGTATCTAGAGTTCATTAGATCTGAGGATTTCAAGTATCATGCTGGCCATTATCTTCTGGCGGGGGGCGCCGAATGGAAGAGCATGGTGACATGTACAGCCAGAACACCAATCCTCAGAACAACAGTCCCGCCATGGCCCTGAAGTACCACAATAAGCGAGCAATAATTAAAATGGGAAGGTAGGATTCCAGTCCAAGAGAAGAGGAGACGAGAAGATGAGGGTCAGGACGGCGGCACGCGTTTGACGCATCACAGTGTGGTTCTCTAGACGCGTCAGTCACGAGTTCACACTATTACTGCTCACAACAATCAGTTATTAAAATTTTGCTCTTGGAGAACTATACTATGAGCCTCTATCTATCTATTATAGCTTTTATCTTATTTTTAAGATCAAAATTGAGGGAGGAGATGCACTCGCAAGTTGGCTTCTCGCGTGCTGCTTCGGTAAGGACTCATCGTGCTTGGCAGTTCCATTCCCACGACCAACAAGACCTCCACCATGTCATGGACGTCCATGGACCAAAACAACTGCCAACAACGCCCTTTGGCAGGCGCTGCCCATCCCCATTACCAAGCCTTCTTAGGCTTGTGACTGGCCCGGTCGCAGTCGGGTGCCTGACACGAATGAAATGCCAGATCGAAGCTAAGGTCTGAGACCTTTGCTATCATGGCTTATATATTACGGGATATGGTAAATATAGCTATACATGTGGTAATGGAATGGTTTACATGTGTACTTAAAGGAATGCGGAAACCAGATGTTATTAATGTGAAACAGACTTATGGATAGCAGGTTAACAATGCGTAGGTAATGAGTGTTCGAAAAGGTTATGAATGAGATGCGCGTGGATGCAGGTGCATGTGAACACGTGTTATAGTGAAATGTGTTTTGATCGTAACATTACGCCCTTCTCTAGAATCACGTCCTCGCGATTAGTGTTGTGCACCGCCACATCTGACAACTTCTAATTCGATGATGCCTCCCAGACTTGCCCTGCGTCAGCCGATTATTTCGAAGGAGTTTCGAGGATTTTGGCGATGGATGCAGATGATAAATATGGTACCGAGAGTTGCGATCGTGGCGACTAGCGCGGCGAGTATAACGAATAAGACGATGTTTGAGGTCGGGATTGTGAGCATGATGTGGTGATGGTTTGTGATGGATGTTGGTCGATGACGTGCATCCCGAAGAACAGTTCGGCTATTTCCGATTGCATCATTGATGGTAAATCAGTGGTTTTCCTTGCTCTGGTCATCCATCGTTCGTAGGTTTGTGTCCACTTTTCCCATTCATCGTCATAAGTTATTTCTTTTTCTTTTTCTGATAATTTTACATTCCGTAGTGCGCCAGGCACAGTGATCGTGGGCATTCTTGCCGCATCAGGGTTCTGCCTATGGAATTCATCGATCAGGCTTTTGTATTGGCCAATTAAGCTTGATTGCAGTTCCCACGTGTCTTCTGATCTCGGTTTGTTTTCCCAGCATACTAAATATTGTAGTTCACCTCATTGTACTCTTGAATCTCGGATTTTCTCCACTTTTGTTTCGATAGCAATAATATTGGGAATGGTTCGTGTTGGTTTTTGATTAGGGAATTCTTGCGTGTAGTAGGACATGAGGAGTACTTCATTAAATACAGAATGGATTTTCCATGCTTTAGGCAACTTGAATTTATAGGCACTGTTTCCGACCTTCTTGACGATTTCGAATGGTCCGTATCGTTTGTCGTCAAGTTTTTTGTTTGGTTGATCTGTGCTTATGTTGATTGCTTCAAGCCAGACCTTATCCCCTTCATTATAATTTATTGGGTCTCGTTTTTTACTGTCCCATTTTGCCTTCATGTACTCCTTGGTGAGTTTGAGAGCGGCCGATGCCTCTTCTTGCAGTTTCTTCATTCTTGTGATGAATTGATCTGCTTGCTTGCTCTTTGCCTCTTTCCGAGTTTCCATTCCAGTGTAAGGGTGATGTCCGTGTGTTAAATAAACAGGTGAATATCCTGTTGCCGAATGCTCCCTGTTGCGGTAGATGAATTCGCAGATGGGAAGCCATTCAGGCCAATCGGTCTGTTGATAATTTATGAACATTCTTATATAATTTTCGATCTCCTGATTCGCTCAGTTTGTCCATCGGTCTGTGGGTGATACGCCATGCTTGGGTTTCCTTGTATTCCCAGCTTTTTGTACACATCCTTGATGAATTGTGAGACGGATTGAGATCCTCTATCAGACGTGATTCGTTTGGAAAGTCCCTGCTTTGACCAAACGTGTTTGATATAAATATTTGCCCAGCCTTCTGAAGTCAGTTCGTCCGTAGTTGGTACTGCGATG